ACATCATGCTTGGGAGGGTGGAGGGATAGCGCAGGAGGGGAAGACCCTCTATGAGATGGATTGATTCGGTGACTGGGGTAATCGGGATGGGTGTATCAGAGGCGATGCGGTTGGCGCAGGATAGAGCAGGGTTTAGGGCTGTTGTGCATAGTGTCGCTATGAGTCAGAAACGACTCGACGGCACATAACAGCAACAACAACATAGTTCTCTATTTTCTTGGATTACTGAAATAATTATTTGTCCTCTGAAAATTAAAAATTTTCCTGAATAAATATTATCATCCTTTTCTTCTTGGCTAGCAGAACCAGTATATTGATTTAGTAATGGGAGGACTACTTTTGATCAGCACTAGAGATCTAAACAGTAGTGTTAACTTTATTGGTAAATACTGCAGTGTGTGGCACTGTTAGAAAGGGTGCCACCAAAATGATTGTGAATAAGAATAAGAATACCAGAACACTTGATTGTGCTTATAACATATATTTGGACCAGGAGGGAGTCATTAGAACAGAGTAAGGAAACACTGAATGGTTCAAAACTGGGAAGGATGTACACCAGGGACGTGTCCTATCTCCATAACTTTTCAATCTATATGCAGAACAGATCATCTGGGAGTCTGGGCTCAATGAGGAGAAATGTGGCATCAAGACTGGAGAAAAACTCATCAACAAGAACCTGAGTTGTGCAGATGACACACTCTGCTGAAACTGAGGGAGATCTGAAGCACTTGCTGTAGAAGGTCAAGAACTGCAGCTTTCAATATGGATTGATGATGCTCGACATCAAGAAACACAACATTCTAACCACTGAGCCAATTGGCAGCATCATCATAAATGGTGAAGATATTAACATTGTTAACAGCTTCAGTTTGCTTGGCTTCACAATCTATACTCTTGGAACCAGCTGCCAGGAAATTAAAAGACGAATTGCATTGAGAAAGTCTGCTGTCAGAGATCTCTCCAAAATATTTAAGAACAATGTCAGTCTGGAAACTCAGGTGCACCTGATGTAGGCCATAGTCTTTGCAACTACTTGCTATGCATCACAGAGTTGGACAATGACTTGGGATGATAGAAGGAGAATTGATGCCTTTGAGTTGTCATGCTGGTATTAAATTTATCATGAACTGCTAAGAGAACAAACAGATCCATCCTACAGGGGATGAGAGCAGGGCACTCCTTAGAGGCAACTATTCTGACGCTTCATCTGACATACTCTGGACATACTAAAAGGCAAGGCCAGTCCTTGGAGAGAACCTTCATGCTTAGGAGGGTGGAGGGGCAGCAAAAGAGAAGAGAAACCCTAGATGAAGTGGACTGATTCAGTGACTGAGGGAATGGTGGTAGATGTGTCAGGAACAATAAGATTGACACAGGATAGAGAAAGGTTTAGGGTTGTTGTAATAAAGTTGTTATGAGTTGCAGGCAACTTGACAGCACATAAAAATAACAGCAAAAACCACAACAACATATCTATCAATAATTGACAAACACATGAAAAAAATGTTCAAGATCATTAAGTATTCAAACACAAACTTAAACTCATTTTCCTGGAGTCAGATCAAGTTATAGTTTATCTCCTGCAGGTTTTCAGAGGCAGCAAATCCCACAGAAGGAAACTGGCCATGGAGAAACTGGTGGATATGCACACCAGAGAAGTTTCATCTTTGAATTAGCAGGAGATTTCTTATGTACTGTGTCACCAGAACTCTCTACTAAAATTACACAAATATTCCACAATTAGGAATATAGCCCAAGGAAATGAAATCTGAGATACTAATGGAGATTTGTACCAATGTTCATAGTAGCATTATTCACCATCACAAGAGAATGGAAACATCCAAAATGTCCAAACACAGCTGAATGGATTGAGAACATTATGCAGCACTCAGGAGCAATAACTTCAAAAAATACTATGTAACTTGGGAGACATT